TGAGACTGTAATCTAGACCCTGTGTGGAAAATTCAGAGTAAATTCAAACGTTAATACCCATTTCCTGTTTGTTTGTTTTTAAATGATCAGAGATGTATGCTGTACAATCATTCCAGGAAAAGGAACAGTGGAAAGAAATCATTAAATGTCTGACTATGACTAAATGTAAGGCTAAATGAGAAATTATACTAAGTACATGCCATTATATGTTATCACTTTAATAATGTATTAGAGTACTAGTCCTCTTTACAGAAATTCATAATAACAATGAAACTTGTCACACTTTCTTTAACATAAACGATGTATTGTAATACTAATACTTAATTTCCATAATTTAAATTAGATACTTAAAAATGGTTGCACAGTCATTTCTAACTTCCCGTCTTCTTTCTTCTGATTCTTTTCCCTCTCAGTACAGGAACCACAGGAGGATGCAGCTCAAAGAGTCACTGCAGTGAGACAGCATCCTCCCTCTGAGTCTCATCTCCCTCAGTTTTTCAGTTGTTAGCCACTTTTATTCTTAATAAACCAAAGATATGCTTATGCCTGGTCTTTGTGGTGCTTTATTTATGCATTTGTTGTTGGTCATATGCATAGTTATAGTTAAGATTGGCTTTAAATTAAGCCAACTGTTGGTGTCAGTGGTCTAACTACACATGTATACTTTTATCTCTGAGTGCTGAATCCGTGTGCAGCACAACACACAACAGCGGAGACTCGTCTTTTTGGTGTTTTACTTTGGAAATCGCAACCGGAATACGCGTACAGTTATACTCACTGATCTTCTGTTCTACTTCTACCTTTGTATCTATTATTTTGTATCTGTTATTTTTGTTTTGCCAGTCATAATTACATAAACATTGTTTGTTTTTAAAACCGCGTGAGAGTCACTAGAAATTAAGTGAGAGTATACTGTTAACATAGACCGTAATCAGCCGGCTTTTATTTTGAATTTAGTCATCGGAAGTCGTAAGTCTTTCCCATTCATCCCGTGCAACCTGCTCCAGTGCACCGGTCGGATTTAGCTAGCATCGCTAGACCTAGTGTTGATTTTTATTAAAACATGTCTTACCCAACACCATCCGACAAGCCTTCAAACCCAGAAAACCCCCGCGTCTTCTTGGACGTAGACATTGATGGGGAGAGAGGTCAGGACATCTGAAATCGACTGTTGTTTAACATCTATTTGCGCCACTTTAAGCCTTAGCTTTGTTAGCTTAGCACCATCCTGGCAGGTTCTAGTGACTTCTAGAAACTGATTTCTATACCACATGCCAAAGACGCTATCAACTAGAAATAAACCAAGCTGTAAATTACACGTGTTTGTCCATTTAAGAGCATTAAGGCAAATTAAAACGTTTTGTG